GCATCTGCTTTCCACACTTCGCTCTACTTCTTTCTTGTTGGGATTAGGTACTCCATCATATTACCATCTGAAGATTGCCTCCCCAAAGGTGAAACCATTTGTGTCAGAGGACAAATTTTGCATCACCTTCCCCTATCCACCACCTTGATCTATAGAAGATTGCCAAAACTCCTTCGAGTTTTTTTAATTTAATCCTTAATGGCAGTAAAATGCTGGATATCATTTCACTGTGATTGTAAACAGGGTGTTACCACATACAATTAATTGCAGTTACAGTGTTGTCATCACTATAATAAGAAATCCTTTGCTAAACATGTTAATGTGCAACAAAAATAACGCTTGTACCTTTAACTATTTAACATACTATATACAGAATACATTTCATAAATTTTTTTGCAATTCACGTGATTAGGGCGATAACACGCCAAAGAGTATAAATTAATTTTTCTTAAAAAAAAAAACGCGCTAAAGACTGCTTGACGAAATAACCCGTGACTACTGTTTAGAATACAAAAATATTATAGTTTTTGTTTTGTACAGCTGGTTTTAAATAAAATATTTACATTTATGGTTAAAATTGTAAACAAAACAGTGCAAAAAAAAAAAACAATAACTTATAATTAATTATATGACTTGCCACAAAAACTAAAACGAATTCATAATGAAAATGATTAACAGTGACAAAAAGTTGACAGCGATGCCATGCTAAAAAAAAATGGTTGATTATTTATAGCGTTTAAAAAATGTAAAAAAACACTGAAAGAAAAAATGTAAAAGGAATTGATAATGAAAGTTATAATGTGCCAATATTAACTTTTTAATTTAACACTTTAAAACTACAACTTTTATTAATTTAAAAATAATAATTTATTTAAAAAAAAATATTTGAAAAACTCTATAACTAAACATGCAAAATTTTGTTGCTTCAACACACTTCTGGTAAGCTGTTTATGGAAATTTATTTTTCATTCATTTTTATCATTAAACAAAAGATTTTTTTTATCAAAATTAAGTAGAAAGAAGAAGTGTGTCAGAATTTTAACACACTTGTCTAAAGTAAATTTCTATATAAAATACTATTGCTATTGTAGAAGAAGAATATATGTATATAGTATATATGTATAAATAAATTTGTCCATATGTTTGCTTTGATTTTTTCTCCTATAGCAAATAGCATTTTTATTTGTTTTCTTAATTTAACAAAATTTCCTTTCGTAATTCACTGTATGACGTAGGTCACGTACACACACCCTTATATGATCGTCACCAGCCCCGTCATAATATTTTTTTTATTATTTTATTATTTAGTTGTATTCAAAATCATTAAATGAATGATTATTGTTTTTATACCCACCATCAAAAAAGATGGGGGGTATATTGATTTTGTCATTCCGTTTGTAACACATCGAAATATTGGTCATAGACCCACAAAAGTATATATATTCTGGGTCCTCATTAAATTCTAAGACGATCTAGCCATGTCTGTCCGTCTGTCCGTCTGTCCGTCCGTCCGTCCGTCTGTCTGTCTGTCTGTCTGTTGAAAGCACGATAGAGTCCGAATGAAAAGAGCTAGAGGGTTGAAATTTCACATAAATATTTCTTATAGGTAAGGTTTGTTTGGTATTGAAAATGGGCAATATCGGTCCACGTTTTCGGATAGCCCCCATACAAGTGGCCCTCGAAAAGCAGCTTTAACAGCCATAACTTGTTTAAAAATACGAATATAGCGATGAAATTCGACATAAGTAAGTTTCTTGTGATCCAAAATCACTGTGCAAAATTTTATGAGGATCGGTCCATAATTGACCCTATCCCCATATAAGGTACCCTTCAGAAAATGACTTTAACGCTCATTACTGGCTTAAAAATTCTAGTATATAGATGAAATTCGTCATAAGTAATTTTCATACGAGTCAAAATCTATCTAAAAAATTTTATGTTGATCGGTCCATGATTGACCCTACCCCCCATATAAGGTCCCCTTCAGAAAATTCCTTTAACGCTTATAACTGGCCTAATAATACGAATATATAGATGAAATTCGACATAAGTAAGTTTCATTCGAGTCAAACGAGGTTTGATGGTGGGTATATAAGATTCGGCATAGCCGAATATAACACTCTTACTTGTTTTTTTTTGGAATCAGATAATGATTTTTTTGTTGAGTTGGTTATGTATGGTTTTAATTATTAGGTATTTTTTATCTCTGTATAAATCAGGGACCGAATTATCGCATATGTTATGGAAAAGGCATTAAGAACACATTTCGTTATTGAAATTTTGAAAAAAGAAGGTTTTAAATTTCATCTGAAAAAGGTAATTTAACGCCAGGTATGTTTTAAATCTTCACTACTCTAATCCCAGGATTTATACATGGAAATACCGGGAGATGTGATATTTAAAAAAAAATTGCTTATATCGGCTGCTTTAAAGAATTGTTATTACCGTTCCCGGGCCCACTTTGTCCCCCAATTTAGAGCCATCCGTGTAACAATGGATTCCTACTAGTATTTGCTCTAATGTCCCGCTTGTACTCTGAACTCATTGTAGTAGTGTGATATTACACTTTTTGTCCAGAGCAGTCCACCAGATTATTGAAGCATAAGCTAGAATTGGTCTAATTACACTCTTATAAAGCCAATTTGTGATAGTAGGACTAAGACCCCATTTCATGTCTATAGTTCTCCTACATATCGCCTAGCACCGATATGCCTTGTTGATCCTTTCCTCTATGTGGTGTCTCCATTTTAATTTCCTTTCAAGGATTACACCTTGGTCTGTCGCCGGTATCTTCTTACCAGGAAGCAGGGTTCAGTATACGTCAAAATTTTTGCCTTTTCACAAGGTTTTGTCTTTTCGTCGGGTTAACATCTCTCGGTTGAGCCCAGCCGAGCCTCCATCAGTTCTTCTAAGTATTACGACATCGTCTGCATAGACAGGTCTAAGTCCTTTATCAATTAGAGTCCTTAGGAGACTATTAATCGTGGTAACCCAGAGTAAAGATGACGAAATGTCACCCTGTGGTATACTGCGAAATACCTTTTTCCTGATAGTTATATCGTACATCTAGCAGCTTATCCTTCTGTTCCTTAGCATGTAGTTGATCCAGTTGTGGAGCACCCGGTCAACATAGGTATTTGAATAAGAGTATCAGTGTGCATGTTATTGAAGTCGTCTTCAATGTCAATGGCGGTATGCATTGACATCGATAGGTGAAGGATAACTTCGTTTAAAGCGGTTTCCACCGATCGTCCCTTTACCTAAACATGATGCTTATAATTAAGGTCTTTGTCTGGTATACTGGTTTTAAGTAGGAAGGACGTAAGGCTTATCGGTCAATAGGACTTAGGTGTCGCATAGCTTGGTTTCCATTTAACTGGGGTTAATTTCAAGCATGTAGTGAATATCTGTGACAGATGTACGGAAACCAGTCCCGCCTCCATCTGCAAAAGTGCCGAGATAATGCCATCCGGCCCTGCAGCTTTATAAGGAGGAAAGCTCTTGATTGCCCCTTTAACCATGTCAGATGTAATAACTATTTCCGTATTAGCCTCCCCTTCCTCCAATATCGGTTCATCTATGTTATTCGAGTTTCATTGTCTCCTTCATATCGTCCAGCCTCCTGCCCCTGTTATCGATCATAGATTCAGGTTGGACATGAGTTTTTGATAGGAATGTTATTACCGTTAGTGGTTAGTTACTTAGCTGGTTTATCAGCCAAAACAGAATGGAATGGAGAAACGTTAAATAACACGACCTTGGATTCCAAGTTATCCAAGTTTCAAATTCTCCATTTTTTTAATCTAAAAACTTAAATGGCGCTGCATAAAGCAATCATAGTATCAGGGTAACAATGCAAGAAGCCTTGTCCAAGAAATACGGAAACGACCTATACCTTTGTATAGCTTCCTATTAAATAATAAATTGCTCAAACACAGCAATCTCCATCAAAATCCAATATGAGCTTTTTCTGATACTCAACCATGTATCAAAGTAAAAGTTGGGTTATAAATCAAAATATCAGTAAAATCCTAGACATCACTTTACTGTGAGTGTAAACAGGACGCTTCATATATTTATATATTTAACTTTGTTATATGTTGCAAAAATTCGGTAATTATAAATATTGTTTAACAATTATCCACAAAATAACTGTAAAATATCGAACATCACTTTGCTGTGAGTGTAAACAGCATATACTATAATAACGACATTAGTTGTAATGTTGTATGTAGCAAGATAGTTTATATCTCATCTAAAAAAACTACCAAATTTTATTATTATATTGGAAAAGAATTGCAACAATATTTGATATTTCCAACTTGCTAATACAAATTTCAAATAAAAAACTTTCGTTTAAATGTCAATTTTAAGATTATCAGCGAGCTACTGCTTCGCGGTTGTCACTTAATAAGTGGTGGAAATTTGTATTAATTATTCATTAACTAATTTAAACGATCGTTATTGATTAATTTCACAATTATAATTGTCAATGTTATAATTACATTATTATCTAGTTATTATCAGTTTAAGTGCTTTGAAGTGTTTAATGTAAATTTGTTATTGATGTTTTGTTTTATTAAAATATATATTAATAGGAAATGTTTGCTAGGGAAATAATAAAGTTTTTTATAAACTAGGTTAGGCTATAAGGGGAATGATCGCCATTTTAATTCGACGCCGCAGTATGATCTATAAATTAGTTTTCAGTATAAATAATTCACTATTTTCAGTGTTTTGTACATTTCGGAAAAAGCATTACTTTCACAAAATTGATAAATACTATATAATAATTATGTAAAGCTTAAATAAGTTTATGACAATTTGATCCTACGAAATTTTTAATATTTCCTCAGGGTCAATAATTGTCCTAAACTTATGCTTAATATTATTATTTAGTACTTATTTGGGTCCTTTTTTTATTTTATCATTTTATTCTTTATGATTTTATTATTATTATTTTGTTTATTTTTTATTTTATACCACCATTATCAATATAGGTCACGTAGGGCTAGTCAAGATGCATCGCTTATGTCACGCAGTTTTGATAATTTATCAATACCAGTACGCAGGTAAGTACAAATTTCAATTCCAAATATTTCTAAGTCTATAACATAAAAACAAACAGAAATATAGTTTGTTATATTGTAAATATATTTAATTTAATTATTGTAAATATGTAAATATAAAAATTACACACGTTTTTGCATGTTTCAGCACGAAAAGAACACTTGAATGTTTTTTGTAAACAAAATATAATTAATATTAAATAATATAAACTAAAGCATGTTGCCAATTATTTTTTGTGTTTATATATAAATTTTTTATAAAAATAATAACATAAATATCAAGGTTTACAAGAGGAAATAACCATAAATATAATAAAATACATTACAACAACAGGTTTTTTAAAAAACTTTTTTAATAATTCTTAGGTATTAATGTTTTTGTTAAACACCCTGTTAAAAAGAGTTATAACTAGAGTTGCCAATTAATTAAAAATAAATTCCCAGTGTTGTATACCATTTAAGCATATTTCAATATTTGTTGAGCAAAATATTTAAGATTTTTCATTTAAAACTCCCATTTAAATAGTTTTTATTTATTTTAATTTTCTTGTTATATTTTACTTAATAAAAAGGAAAGTTTTCTTTTTATTATTTATTGTGAAACTATCTTATTTATATTGCTAACGCTTAAAACTTTGAGTTAAAAAACCAATTGTTGAAAAACAATAAAACACACTTTCAATCATTGTTAGTTGATTCAATTATGCAAATTTCTTAACAGTAGAAAAAAAACACATTTTCCACTTTTTCTTTTAACACAATTGTCAACATTAAATGCATTTGTGTGTCACCACTAAAGATAACGGAAGTGTCATCACAAAAGATTGAAATCTAAAGGACAGGGTTCGGGAAAATGTTGAGATTTCGACTTTATAATAAAGGGGAGTAAGAATAGAGTCTAGAATAGAGTGTAGAATAGAGTCTAGACTAGAGTGTAGAATAGAGTGTAGACTAGAGTCTAGAATAGAGTCTAGACTACAATCTAGACTAGAGTCTAGAATAAGTCTAGAATAGAGTCCAGACTAGAGTCTAGAATAGAGTCTAGACTAGAGTCTAGAATAGAGTCTATACTAGAGTCTAGAATAGAGTCTAGATTAGAGTCTAGACTAGAGTCTAGAATAGAGTCTAGAATAGAGTCTAGACTAGCGTCTAGAATAGAGTCTAGACTAGCGTCTAGAATAGAGTATAGAGTAGAGTCTAGACTAGAGTCTAGAATAGGGTCTAGACTAGAGTCTAGAATAGAGTTTAGACTGGAGTCTACACTAGAGTCTAGAATAGAGCCTAGACTAGAGTCTAGAATAGAGTCTAGAATAGAGTCTAGAAAAGAGTCTAGAATAGAGTCTAGAATAGAGTCTAGATTAGAGTCTAGACTAGAGTCTAGAGTAGAGTCTAGACTAGAGTCTAGACTAGAGTCTAGAATAGAGTCTAGAATAGAGTCTAGTCTAGAGTCTAGAATAGAGTCTAGTCTAGAGTCTAGAATAGAGTCTAGTCTAGAGTCTATTATAGAATCCAGACTAGAGTATAGAATAGAATCTAGACTAAAGTGTTGAATAGAGTTTAGACTAGAATCTGGAATAGAATCTAGACTAGAGTCTAGAATAGAGTCTAGACTAGAATCTAGAATAGAGGATAGAATAGGTCTAGACTAGTGTCTGGACCAGAGTCTAGAATAGATTCTAGACTAGGGTCTAGAATAGAATCTAGACTAGAGTCTAGAGTAGAATCTATACTAGAGTCTAGAATAGAGTCTGGACTAGAGTCTAGATTAGACACTCTTGTCTAGAGTTTATCCGAACTCTGCCTTTAAGAAATTACAAAACTCAATGAAAGTGGTTTAAAAAAACTAACAAATAGTTCATTTCCATTTAAAGTATAAAAATGGATTTAGAAATAAGATTGGCACCAGCTAAAAGAAATCAAAATGGCGACAGGCGGTAACCTTTATAAAGAGACAAAAGTCTACCTTTTTTCTGTAATGCAGTTTCCTACAAGTTTATTGACTTTTCTATGAGAATATTACCAGTAACTTTAATTCCGTTGTAGTTTAAGAAACTTTAGCATAAGCTCTTTACAAAACCTTTAAAACGTTTAAATTTATAAGACAAAATTGATGTCAGTAGTTTATGGACAATTTGTAGTTAATATGCCAATGTTAAAACACTTGTTGATTAATATTTTGTTTATTTAAACAATTGATTTTTATCTGTAAGTGCCGTAGATAGACTTCAATAATAAATTTAAAAAAAATTATAAACAATAGATTATTTACAGTTTAAATTATCAGGGTTAGTTTTAGAGATGTTAGGTTTATGTTAAACTATAAGTTAACTGCAGCTTAAATAGCGCCTGTCTGAATTATCGAAGTGTTTATAACCCGTTTATTTCTCTATCTCTTCTCATAATTCTTATTCAGTAGATTGATTACTTGTTTTGGGAATTTAGATCACGCAAAAATGTGCTCGAGTTTTATTATCTTGAATGCAGATAAAACTCTAGTTGATTTATAATTTTGGGATTTTACGGTTTTTTTTTTTGGCGTAAATAATGTAGTAGTATTATTTTTACGTTTTATTCTTTTTAAATATAAACATTTTAAAATTTGCGACACAAACATTTTAAATTTTAAAAGAAATTTAGACCGACTATCAACATAGTTAGCAGTTTGTTAATCTCAAAGATAAAGATAAAGTTCAGACGGCCAGCTGTAAATAAGTTGAGTTCTTGACTCTTTTTTTTCCTTGTTGTTTTTGTAGTTTATAGTATAAATTCCCCTAAGACCACGTTTGAGAGCTTCGTTCAATTATTTTTCAAACTTTTGCATGTGATACCCTTCCATAATGCCTTGATTCTCTACCTTAGTTAATCAAGTTTAAATCATAGAAAATCTGCCTCATTTAAAGCATTTCCTCCTGATCTACTCTTATTATATAATCTTCTCTTTAAATTCACCTATATATCGCATAAAGCACCTTTTAAGAATGCAATATAAGCCTTGAACTGGCATGAGATTGATATGAAATATCTTGTAGATTATTGCACTATTCCAAAATTTGCTCAAAACCATATAATATTGGAACTTTTAGCACCTAGGGTAAGTAGTCATTTGGAAATGCAAGACCTCTTTTTTATATGTTAAGTAAGGAAACTATTTAGGAAACTTATTTGCTAAATATAGTTTTCTCTAAAGTTGTGGAATTTGGTAATTTCCATCGTTAATTAGGAAATGTCAAAATACTGCCTTTTCGTCCCCAACAGGGACTGTCAAAATCCGTAAATAGTATGCGAATGTTTTTTCTAATTTTCGAAAAATCTTTATATGAATTACATATTTTATATAAAAAAAAAACTTAATAATATTAATAGTTCCTATGTTGTTCGATTATTACTTCCTTAAAATAAAAGTTCTCAAAACTAACTAGAGAGCTCTTGATAATTTATTCATTAAAAAATCGCTTATACAAAAAAAAAATATTAAATAGTTCCGCATGATTTTAAGCAACAATATCAATCAATTGAGAAAAAGGAACTAAAAGTACATTTCATTAACGACAAACAAAAATCAATAAAATTTAATTGTCACATTTACAAAGAAATGAAAAACATACATATTAAATGAAAAAGCAACCACAAAATGAAATTTTCTGCAAAAAAGTAAAAAATATAAACAAATACAAACGAATGCTGCCGAAGAACAGAAAAAGTAACAGACATTTTGCGGAAATTAACTTTGTCAATCAATATAAAAAAATGAACAAAAAAACATTGAATATAAAATCATATTTAACTGATGATTATTGTAAGTTTGTTACTCTAATAATATTTTTGTAATATGTCCCCTTGAAAATCTTGTTAACACTCCAAACTTGTACACTTGGCGTTTGGTTGATTCGTTACACTTTAACTACAACACTTGACAACAATAGTCTTTATTATCTATCGCTTTCGATAACATCTCATGTCGTTAAAGATGATATTGATGATAATGTGAGAAGATGTTGTCATCGAGAGTGTTGTGATAAAGTTTTAAATAAAGTGTTTATTGAATTGACTTTTTTTTCAAATATACTTTAGAATGAATAATATTTGTTTGGTTTTTGAGTTTTGCTTTTGCCGCTAGATAATTTTCAATAACTTTTGATTTTCTAGAATGGAATTTTTTAATAAGTACTATTTTTTTTAAATTAGCAATGTTTATTTTCATGTCAATCTTAGATTTTTGTTTATTAATAGAATTAAATGAAAATTATTTTTATATCACTTGAGGTTTGGAGTGGAGACATTATTTATGCGTTTAAAATGAATAGATAGATAGATATATAGATAGATAGATAGATAGATAGATAGATAGATAGATAGATAGATAGACAGATAGATAGATAGATAGATAGATAGATAGATAGATAGATAGATAGATAGATAGATAGATAGATAGATAGATAGATAGATAGATAGATAGATAGATAGATAGATAGATAGATAGATAGATAGATAGATAGATAGATAGATAGATAGATAGATAGATAGATAGATAGATAGATAGATAGATAGATAGATAGATAGATAGATAGATAGATAGATAGATAGATAGATAGATAGATAGATAGATAGATAGATAGATAGAATAGATAGATAGATAGATAGATAGATAGATAGATAGATAGATAGATAGATAGATAGATAGATAGATAGATAGATAGATAGATAGATAGATAGATAGATAGATAGATAGATAGATAGATAGATAGATAGATAGATAGATAGATAGATAGATAGATAGATAGATAGATAGATAGATAGATAGATAGATAGATAGATAGATAGATAGATAGATAGATAGATAGATCGATAGATCGATAGATCGATAGATCGATAGATCGATAGATCGATAGATAGATAGATAGATAGATAGATAGATAGATAGATAGATAGATAGATAGATAGATAGATAGATAGATAGATAGATAGATAGATAGATAGATAGATAGATAGATAGATAGATAGAT